GGCCGTTAATGCCAACAGCCATTACAACAAACGCATCTTTAGCAACGGGCAACGCATCATCATGAAGCTGCCCGCCCATGTCAACATGGCCATGAAACTTCCGCCCATCCCATTCGGTGTGGCGTCTCACCGCCATCTCATCCACTAGCGGACTACACAATGTCGGGTGCCCGGTTGTTGCATTCTGAGTTACTTTCATCGTCATATAGCAGCAAGCGCTTCTTTAGAAAACCCCGCAGATCCATCGACGGTCTGGTACGTACCACTTGGACAAAGTCCTTGAGTGTGGTAGGCACGTGTCGAAGACTTCTCTTACATAGTTATAGGCCCTGGGCGAGTAAAAATGCAACGTTAGAACATACGCCCGCAGTTCTGATGAATATGTGACCGGCTGAGGTGCCCCAGTCTTCTTTGCAACTTGACGTCTAAGCGGGTCCTTGTTGGCTTTACTGAGGCTCTCAAGTATCGAAACATTCTCATCAGTCATGATGCGATTCTTCGTAAGATCGTCAATGACATCCTGCATCTCGGCTAGCTTCTTCTTGAGGCGTCGCTGAGACTGCTAAAGTGTTTTGATTCTTTTCTTGCTGGCTGTCTGGAGGTTGCAGTAGAGTGTAACCTCCTTCCGCAAGAAGGCCTTCTCGGGAGTGTGTCGTCGGCAGGCTGAGCCTATAAGAATGCAGGTTTTCATCACAGATTTATTGTCAACATTCTCAATTTGTGTCACAGTTGGGTACTTCTCACTCCCCTAGCCCATAATAGCCTTTCGTGACCATTGTAGATCCGGACTGGTGACAAAGGCAAGCCTATTAGAGTTCAACTCCACTCATTTTTTTTAAATAATTATATAAGCTATAAGACAGCGACCCCGAATCATGCAATATCATTTGTTTTTCGGCAGTGTGTGTTTTGTAGGTAACTTGCCTCAAGGTTTCATTGGCAACATAACTGCTGCATCAGTTTCGTGCCACCGCAGGGTCTTGACCAGTCTGGACTACTTATTAGTGTGCCGAGTTCCAGCATTTTCCACTTTTGCCGAGGAAATGAGTTGCAATGATGCTCATAGCTAGCACTCGTACGAACAACGAAGCGCAGCACACATGCAAGATGGCCGTCCGGTGGCCCCACTCGCAGTCGCGGAGCGGAAAAGCGCGATCGCAGAGATCAGTGTTTCATTGACGTAATTAATCTATGTTAAGGTTACGGCTTTCATAAATTTCAAAAATCAGTTTCATTCCGGTTACGGTTAGTCAAAAAATTTCGTTCCTAAACAGTTTTTTGGTTTCGGTTAGGGTGACGGAATAAAACCCTAGACAACTGCCTTTTTTTTTGTAAATTCGAGATTGAAGGAATAACGCTGGGCATCTCTAGAGGTTTAATTTTATGTCAAGTGTATCATTACTTGATCTCCCCATGTAAGCTTTCTGGGGCCAGTTAATATAGTTAGACTAAAATTAACTTCGCTTAGGAATGATCAATTGGAAATCTTAGGATCAACCTTCATGTGTTCAGCTGAGTTTTCATTTATGCATGCTTTCAAAAAAACATTCTAATATTATATTAGAAAACATTCGGCCAAACCAACTATTCGCTTCAAACTCAGAATCCACTACTGTAAAATTGCTGAAGAACGCCCACCTAAAATGAAGATACATGGTGAAAATCATGGGGTGGGCTACCTTTAAAGGGCAACTCCGCTTCTTTTCCAGTAGTGCAAAACCATACACTTCCCTTTGCTATCATCTACAAAACCCCCATGGCAAATATTACGACGGTATTCCGCCTAGAAGTTCATTAAAATCGCTGTCAAAGTTTGACAAGCACGAATCCGCTGGTTTTGGATGAGACGTGCGGACCAGACAACACTGCCCGGCTGCATTTCCGCTTCCTCCAAATTCCTTCTCCCGGCACGTCCGTGACGTCATCAAGCATGTACAGCTTCTTTTTTTCTTTCAATTTTGTTTTCTTTCCTGGGGAGAGCACGGGTGGCGCCAGCGCCGTGAGAGACGTGAGTGACGCGCTCGGCCGGCCCGGCGCTCGACTATTGATACTACTGACAGGCCCATCGCCTCGTTGAGCGCGGCTAAAGGAGGAGAGGAAAGCTGCTTTTGTGAGAATTTTGAGTGACAGGTTAATCTTCTATAATCTTCTGGGAGGAGAATAGTGACGCCTGTGCTAATCCAGGAGGCACAAAGGAGGATCCTGATAAGAGGGGAGCTCCTTCTTCCCCTTGTATATCACGTGGGTGTACATGCTTAGTGATGCCGAATATACAATGTTGTCCGGCTTCGCCACCGTTTCGGTTTGTGATCATGGCTAGAGTAAAATTACACGAAAAATATTTTATTTTTCGCGAAACAAAGGATTGGGGATTGTTTTTGAGTGCTTCAAAAAGCAAAATCGGCCACTATCTCAAAATTTTTGAAATTAAGCGGAGTTGCCCTTTAAGGATGCCACACGAAAACTTTATATAAAAAAAAATCAAAAAACGTTCAGCCTTTCCACTCCAGTGAAGAAGGAAGACCAGCGAAGCTAGAGTAGGGAGGCTGTACTTTGGTGAGAATGAAGTAATAGCCGGTCGCAAGTCAGAGTGGAAAGGCTGGAAAGGTTGTCGCCATCTATGAGCGACGGCAGCAACCAGACAACCGGCAAGCCGATTGTTTGGTTGCCGCCATCGCTCATAGATGGCGGTAGCTGTCCGGAGTGTTGTGTCGACATATGTTTGCTGGCGGACACGATCCTGGAGTGAATAACCCTCAACAGCTCCGCTGTAAAAAAAAAAAATTGATAAACATTTGGGTACTCGCTACAAACTACGTGACACGGGAACTGATACCATTGATCGTGGACACGGCAAATTCGCGTTTCATGATGCGACAAACACGCGGGAATTCGCTACGAAATCCTGTCACGGGAAAGGATACCGCAGATCGCGGACGCAGCATATTCAAGTTTCATGGTGCAATACACACGCGGGAACCCGCTGCAAACTTGCCTGTCACGGGAACGGAAATCGCGCGCAGATTGCGGACAAAAATGCAGGAATCCGCCACAAACTCGCGTGTAAATGGGACAAATACTGCAGATCACGGACGCAGCAGAATCGCATTTCACGATGCATTATACACGCGGGAACAACTCGCGTGTTATGGGAGTTGATATCATGCGCGCAGATCGCGGATAAAAAAACGCGGGAATCCGCTAAAAACTCGCATGTCACGGGAACGAATATTACAGATCGCAAACGCAGCAGAATCGCATTTCACGATTCAATGTACACGCGGGAACAACTCAAGCATTACGGGAGTCCATATCGCGCGCGCAGATCGCGGACAAAAATGCGGAAACCCGCTATGAACTCGCTTATCAGACGTACCGATACCGCAGATCGCGCAGTTGATAAGATTGCTGTCAGACATCGCGCGACATCCGGGGGTGAGCGATGTTTCGGAATTTTTTTTTTTTTTTTTTTTTGATATTTAGCCAGAAAAACGGGATGGGCAATCTCTCGGGGGAGGACGGGCTTACGGAATTTTACGGTATTCGCACGTGCCTGCAGTCTCGCACCATCAAACTTTCTTCTTCAACCAACGTTACTAAACCCTCAGTTGGGAAACTCACCCTTGGAACCTGGGCCGCTGGCGTCCACAGAGACCGAGCTAAATACGATAACAGCGCCACCCTTTAGCGACGAGTTGAAACATGAAAGTTGCTTTACATAGCTACTGCGAGATGGCCCTGCAAGATGGCGCCACTATCCCTTGCCCACGCTGCGGGAGAAATGGCGGCATTGGGCGCGTTCAGTAGCGCCTCCCTTGCCTCCGAACGGAGTGCCTTGAGTCGGAGTCATCGGAGCGCCTACTGAACGGCAAAAAAACCCGCGGCTCCAAACCTGCTTCTACGCAACTTCCGCTTCCTCCCCTGTGCCAGACGGTCTCCGAATAAACTGGAAGCAGACGATGGCGAGCACGATCGCTTTTATTTGACGCCGGTATTGAAGAAGTCTTTACAAGGTCGTTGAAGAAAAGGCGGGTGATTGTACACATCAGCGCTGCTGTTCGAAGCGATGCAAAGCGATCGAGCCTTTCGCTTGGCGGTGCAAAGTCAGCTACTGTTATAAAAGCCGACAAAAATCGTCGACAGTACACGCAAAATACCGAGCTCAGCGAATCTACCCCGCCGGTTGCGATACTTTTATACGGCCGTAAGTTTGTTCTGCCCTTCGTAACGAACTTCCTATAAAATGTATTTGTATACAGACGGGAAGTTCGGCCGCGCTCGGCGATCAAGGTTTTGTCGGCCGAAGCGAGCCTCAGCCAACGTGCACCCCGATTTAGCTACGCAAACAAAACATTAATCGGTATCATGCTCTGCGTGAGTGTCCAACCGGCTTCCAAAGTCGCGTTCATACCCTGTTTTTCTCTGTTGAGCGCGGACAGGACTATCGTCAATATTACCGAGTTTCCGTGCAACGGCGATCAAGAGACGGCGCGTCAAATGAACGTTTGCGTTGTTTATTAGCATATTCAAACCAAACCAAATACGGTCCAATGCATTTTCCGAAAGAGCCTTACCTGAAAAAGATATTCGAACGCGTTATTCGTCTTACCTTGAGCACTTTTCATTAACAAAAGCGAGCAAACCGCGCACCCGCTACAGAACCGAAGCAGCTTATCCCGCCATATTGTTTGTTTTTTACTCTTTTAGCGCCGGAAATCGTCACCAGTCAGGAAATGACGTCATTTTAGCTCCTTCGTGCACCGTCTCCGGACTCGGTGCTTCGGAGCTTGACTCCGAAGCCCCGGAGTTACGTGCACCGGAAGTGACTTTTGGCCGTCCAGTGGAAGGAGTCAGTGACTCCTTGACTCCGGGGCCGCTACTGAACTGCGATCGCCACTAGCTCTGTTCTCGAGTACGGATCGGAGCCACTTTCTTAAAGCAGGCTGTATGGCAGTTTCCCAACTGACTGGTTCCTAGTAACGTTGCCTTATACTAATAATGGTTTCAGTCTGCCATTTGTTTCGAGAGCCATCAGCAACTGGGATGATCCACCACCTGCTACTGTCGCCATTGTGGACTTGGCTGAATATAATTGTTTTTATACTGCACATTGTTTCTTTTTGCCAAAACCTACAATGTATAATCTAGATGTAATATATTAAAGTACAATAAATTTATTTGATTATGCTGAATTCCGAATTAAAAGATAGTATCCAAAATGGGCACCGAGTACATTGTGCCACTCATTCAGCAAGGCGAAGATTATTTCGATACCTCACCCAGAGTCAAAAACAAGCACTGAAACCGTGCTTATTACAACAGCCTTCTTTCTTTTTTCTTGCGGAGGTTGCTGTATGTGCATGTCCTAAGGGCAAAACCAGGTTCAATCAGAACTGCAGGTCAAAAATACTTTGTCAAGTCAGAAATGGTCCTAGATTTATTTATTTTTTTGTCTAAACTAAAGAGCAGACTGATCAGTGCAACCTCAACTCGCAGAATAGTTAAAAATAAAAGGGGACTGCATCTCTGCGGTGCTTCGCTTATTTCCTTTTATAAATTAATATTTATAACTCTGTGCTTCGCGACAAATATTGATCACCTGTCCCTTTCATATATCTGCTCGTCATGATTATCAGCACAATGTTGAGGTACCCTAACGCTATCAATCTACGTTCCAATCTTCTTTCCTTCCTCACACATCCCTCGACTGGAACCACCTTCCCAGACGAATTACATCCATCACTGACACTGTATTTTTTAAATCTGCTCTAAGCAATATATATATATTTTTTTTAGTCTGAATAACTTTTCATAGCATTGTTTTGATCCCAACTTTGCTTTCCCCCCTCTGTAATTCCTTTGGGCCCTGAGGGGAAAGCACATAAATAAATTAATACGTTGAAATGCGATACCATTTCTGCAAACAAATTTTGTTCCCTCCTTCAGCCCCTGGTCGTTGCTGAACAAGCAGCAGCCAAACGCTGCTCTTTTCCGGCGTCTCATTGGCACGAAGACGCTGAGCCTTGGTGAGCTGCCGCATTTCTGTTCAGCGATGTTCTCTTCGGTCCGCTCCTTTTTCTTGCGAGGCATAATGAAGACAATTGGAGCATTTCTAGTAAGCCTTTGACTTTTACACTGACCCATTCCGAAAAAGTGTCCTCCGTTGGAAGCTGTTGAATCTCTGCATAAGGGTGGACACAAGCGCAAGCTTCCTGCGTTCAATCATGCCTCCGTTGGATGGCCAAGGAAATGTTAGCACATTTAGAGACCATCCCATCACAAGCCTCCTCCTTCTCTGGCACACCAACTAGACATCATCCGAAGCCGGCTTTAGACGCTGCGTTTGCACATAAAGAAGATGCTTTGTTGCCACGGTGACGCCAACAGTAGCAGACGGTCTTCATCATGCGGAAGATGGCAGGGCGGCGAGATGAGGTGCATTCTTGGGCTTTCTCTCCAAGCATTTCACTGAGAACCTACTGCAAATGGCCGATTTTCTTCTGTGCCTAATATTTTGACGAGTCTTGCAATTCGGACAAAGTTTTTTGTACTTGAACATAAAACTAAATATATCAATGTGCCAAAAAAAAAGCTTTTGTTCTGACATTCACACGAAAAAAGGGTGCTAGAGTGCTTTGCAACACAAATAAGACTTGGCAGGGGAGACTCAATTTCTGGCATTTTGAGACCAAAGCAGCTGGAATACTGAACACACCCCAAGTGACACACACAGCACAGGAATCTGGGATTCCCTAGTACATTACATCAGGAACTGTGGGCTTCCTCAGTTTATATAGAAAACTCCCAACCATCATCCATCCCCCACCCACAACCCCAATCCCTTCTGCCCCAAGACAGAACATAGTCAGGCAGACAATTTCATAAAAATAAATATGTGTTTTCAATATCTTTCAATCTAGACACTTGACAGTTCAGATACACAGTAGATGCACATTTGGCCACAAAAACAAAAACTTGTTAAAGTATGAACGAGTGAAAGGCAAGCTAACCCTACGAATCCGGAGATGTGATGGCTCCATACTACTAAGCAACAAGAATGAATAGTTCAAACTTGTTAGACCTTCCAGACCCCATCATCACAGACAAACGGTGGTCTCACGCTTTTCAACATTAATCAATAACCTATTCAAGAACCTACACAACTTCAGACAGCCTACTTATTGTGTTTTTGAACTTGGAGATGGTAACAATCTCTCCGAGAAACATACCTTGTCAAAACACAAGCAAGGGCAGATTACAGAACCTACCCCTAAAATTCACATGCAGGTTTGGTCACGCACTTCAGAACCAAAGCTCACAAAAAAACATGAGTAGACAGCCTAATCTTGCCCAAGTAAAGACACAATGGGCTGGGTTACACACTTGGCAACAAAAATCAAAACGGATATAAAAGGACACATCAGTGCAGATGGTGTAGTGCCGCCCTAAGTTCCATCATAATCCTATATACAGGTTGGCCGCATGCTTCGGGACAAAAAATATAACAAGCTGAAAAGATACACAAGAATGGCAAGTATCATCAGACTCCAAGTTTGGGTGTACCCGAGTTGAGCACTTGGCAAAAAAAAAAACACTCAATCAAAAGGCACACCGGTATAAATGATATTACATAAGACCATACACACAGAGTGGTCACAGACTTAAATAGAAAGGAGGAAAGACTCGTTGAAAAACACAAAAAAATGGTCTAAACTCAACTAAGGCTTAGATGCACACATTGCAACAAACAAAATAAAAAGAACTATCTGAGGTAGTCACATGGTAAACAATTATTAATTATGTCATGTTCACGGGAAGTGGCACGATGAACGGCTCTGGGGTGCTAGCTATGCTCTTGCTTTGGCACCTTAGCACTGGGTCCGTTAGAAAGACAGCCATCAAGCACTCGCTTCGTGCCTTCTGCCACATTCTGCCAGTTGTCCCAACCGTACACCGTCTGTGTAGAAGAAACGCATGGTATCACTTCGGGCTCCTGTTCAATTTTCTTGATTCCCTCTAACATCCGTTCCAATTTGGCAAGGTAAGTGGGGCTGTCCACAGCAATGGCATGGCATTTCTTGAGCCGTGCCTGAATTTCCCTCAGCACCTCGTCTGCTTTCTGGAAGAGAAAGTTAGAATAAGAACCAGGTTTTAACTCATTAGTTGCTCAGATACGTATGTAGCTTTTTATGCCAATGAGCGTTTCCTTCAGGTCGTTCCAAAGAAATTTTCAAAACTCTCCCAGAGGTTCCGCTGTCATCTGCTCAGTAGCTCAAGCCCCTAGAGCAGAGGTGGCCAAGCTGCAGCTCGCGAGCCGCATGCGGCTCTTCGCGTGTTGAAGTGCGGCTCGCGGCTTCCTCCTCCCCCCCTTTCTACCCCTTCCCCCGATTCCCTCCCGGTCACACGAGCACTTCCCCAAAAAGAGAAATGGAACGCGTTTGAAATCAAAAGACAGGTTGCGGTATGCTAGTCTTGTGCTACTAATACCTCACGTACAGTTGGACTGCTTTTGACTCGGATACATGTAAAGTAATTCAAGTTTTTTTTTATTGCCCTGAACAAAAGTTTCCCCCCCTCCCCCCCCTCCCAAGGTCTCTTGGAAGTTCTGTGGTTTTTCTGCGGCTCTTAGGCTGGGTAAGCCTGGCCAGCACTGCTTTAGAGAATGAATTTGAACTCTGGCGTGATGCTGAAGGAGGACAAAATTCTCAAAAGCTTTCTTGATTTCTTTGGTACGAATGTATGCCTCATATTTTCTAGTAAGTTGCCGAGAACAAACATGTCCAACCATTAATGAACAAACAAGCATGCAAAATGTTTGCATATTGTAGTAGCTCTGTTTTCAGTTCAACCTCCAAATGGAATGATCGAGGAAGTTTCACCAGTTTTTTTTTTAAATCAAAGCTTTTTTTAAAGCTTATGACAGCCTATCCCAATTCTGTTAAAGGGACATTGACAGGGTCTTTATGCTCGCCAAGGTTTTTATTTGTACATGACATATGAGAACCCAACTACCCAGAGCACAATTCGCGGCTCGAAATTTGTCTTCTTTCCGCCCGAAAACCGCCAATCGTGAACTGGCCGGTTTGAGTCATGCTCACTCTGTTCTCCGTGGTCATGCGCCGTTTTCTATGGTTTAGACGCAATTACCATGGATAATCAAAGTTGTAGGTCATCCAAGGCACGCATACAATGTTAAAAATATAACACATATATGATACCAATTTTTTATGGCTTCTAAAAAGCTGGAAATACGTTGATCGAACAAAAATAAAAGTTGCACAGCCCCGTGACTCCCGGCACTCTCCCCTCCTCTATATTTCTTTTCCCTCCCCAATCCAGTTTTGGTTTCGGTTTCGAACAGTTGTGTTATTTGACTTTATTAAAAATATATGTGACGCTGTAACAAAATATTGATTGGGTAGCCTTCTGACACCATAATGAATCACCCGGCAAAGAATTAAAAAACTATTCTGGGGGGTGTCACTGTCCCTTTAAAGGGATACTACAACGAAATTTCGGCGCTCATTTTTTGGTCTATATGTGTTCAAAAGAGCAGCATCACATGGAACATACCAATATCTTGTTAAAAAAGTCTCGAAAAGGAATTTTAAAACGAATTAAACGATTAGCAAAGAGCACCTGGTGGATGTCGCTAACGCCTCCTTTGTAATGCTCGTCTAGGAACCTTGACAGCTAGTGACGGAGGTTGTCTCGTCTCCGGCCACGACGAGAGAAGGGGGGAAGGAGCAACTCCCCTCTTCCCGAGAATCCCTTTTGTGTGTCGCAGAAGTCGCCATTGTCCCCCTAGAAGATTATAGAAGATTAACCCGTCACTCAAAATTCGTACAAAAGCAGCCGTTTCGGTGGCTGGAACGACTAGGCCATCCTCTCGACGTCAGCCTCGCCATAGCTTTGCTCGTCTTGAGACGACCTACGTCACAATTGCGTTGGATGTCACGTGTTCTAAGCTGGGCCTTCTCCGAGCGCTTGCCAGAGTGGGCCATTTATAACGAAAAATACAGCCACCAGGCTCAAAATACAAACGTGCGATTGTCATTTACGGATATTGTGGATCATATTCAACCTATTTTTTAACACGAAGGGAATATTTCAAATTTCGTTGAAGTATCCCTTTAAAGGGCAACTCCGCTCAATTCCGAAGATTTCGGGATAATGAGTGATTTCGAATTAAAAAGCCCTAGTAAAAGACACTACGTCGTTTGCTTCGCGAAAAATTGGATATATATTTTTAAATCTGATTTTAAACACGAGCGGAAATCGAAACCGAAACTTCGGCTCCGTCCGGCAACATTGGCCTCGGGCCGCCAAGTACATGGCCATCACGTGGTACGAGATGTCACGTGATCCTCGGCCCAACGACGGACGGGATGGGGGCGGGCATGCGGTAGGCGCGAGTGTCGTCTGCACCGCACTCTTCGCCACGTTTTGGTGTCTACGGCATTCGACGACGTCTGCACAACTGCGGCATAAGTTTGCGACTCTGCGCACGTGGTGTCCATAGTGTGGACGAAACTCCGAGAGGCAATAATCACAAACGGTGAGACGACGACGGTGGTTGTGACGCAGAAGACGGCGGTAACGGCGGGACCACGGCGGGCGGTTGGTCCGCTCCCAAGAAGTGCGTTGCGCAGGCGCGTACGCCAATCACGTGGACACCGCTGAGCGCCGAGAGGCAACGTTGCTGATGTCATGCGCTACACTCGATCGGAGAAGTAAAAACAAGCAAAAGGGGGCCATGATGATGACGTTTAACTCAATGTTGGCTCCGCCGTAGCCTTGACTGCGCTCTTGGTTGCGCCTGAATTCGCCCGCTCGAGTCAGCCGATTTCGGCAACTTGGCGAGTTGCAAAGTTGGCCGGACCGTTTAAGAAACATTTAGACAGAACTGCGTTGCAATATTTGACGTGTGATCTTCCTAGGCGATACTGAGGAGGACTGCACTGTTCTTTCAAAACCAAAAATGAAGCGGAGTTGCCCTTTAAGTGCACCTCTCCCATGGCGTGGGTGTACTACAGCGACGCAATACAGTAAGCGACGAAGACACCGGACGCCCTAAGGGGCCAACTTCCTGCTGACTATAATAGCAACTTTGTTTCACCGCACTCGCGTTCACATCTGTCTCCTCCCGGCATGCAATGAGTCCATTTCAGCTGGCAAGTGCCGCACTCGCTTGCACCGAGAAAATCAGGAATGCCCCAGAATGCATTCCCGCCATGCATCATCCAGGGGAGGAGCAATAGAAAACGTCTCAAAGAAAGGGGATACATGGCTTGCACGTGACGTCAGTCCACCCTTCTTTCTAGTGGCCAGAAGCGTCTCATTAACGTGGCGGAAGATGGCCTTTCGCATGCCTATTTTACATGTATGTCTGACCAAGTGACGTCAGTGCAAGCTATGTATCTGGCAGAACCCGCAGAAAGGTGGATTGTCTGTTAGAAATTGGGTCCCACAAGTGACGGGATCAAGCGGGAGCTTATAGCATTGTGTCTGCTATTTTATGAAGAAAGCAATCATTAAATCGTGCTTCCTTTGCAAATTTCGAGTAATTTTTTGTTGTATAGGCGGTGAATTGTAACGGGGGTAAACGAAGTCTGAGGACGAAGACAATGACAGCAGCGAGACCTCTTTCACCATCCGTGTGCAACTGAAAAGTTCTCACCAAAATGCTGTCCAATTGTGGGCTTGCAAGTGGACAAGAAGTTTCTCACTGGTAGACAAAGCTCACCCAGCAGAAAGCATGAATCTACGTCCGATGATGGCGCCGTAGTCGCACTGTCGCAGAGCAGACCGCATGTTTTGATTTGTGGTTGATACTCTCGTTATAACATAGACGATGACAGGATCAGGCTGCATTCAGTAAGTTTGTTCGGGGCCGATTCTTTGTGCAGCACTACGCGAGTGTGATGCATTCTGGACAAAACTGACAGGGTACCGGTGCTTGTGAAACGAAGTTGCTATAAACATACACACAACGCAATAACTTTTAACGAAACATGGTTATGCAATGCTTTGGTCAAGTTTGGTGCAAATAGCAAGCTACCACATTTTAAGACTCGAGTCCTCCCCAATAATAGTCAAGCCGATACAGGAGGTCACTTAAGACTGCTTACGTGTAGGAAGGTGAAAGCATTATAGTCCCACGGGTGAAATGCTTTCGTGTAATGTTTCTTCACATATTAAAGTTTAGGACAATGTATAGGACGACACCGAGGGTGACGTCCTAGGGATTGACACCAAGTACAGCATCTAGTAGGACCTCTAGGACAACTTCGCAGACAACATCAAGGACACTGAGGACGACTTCTAGGACGACCCTAAGAACGACGCCTAGAGGACGACGTCGAGAACGACGCCTAAAGGACGTCTAGGACGACCTCTAGGACAGTTTCAAGGACGGCGTCTAGGACGACATCCAGGACGACCTCAAGGACGACGCCTAGAGGACGACACCAAGGACAACGCCGTTCTTGAGCATACGATTAAGCGACCGCCTGAGTTGTCACGTAAACGTTTTGGTACCTTTCATGTCGCCAACGTGTTTTCGCTCAAGCACTTTGAAGGTCGACTGAACGATGAGACATGGCTTTCGCCTTAATAAGGTCCTCACCTGACAGTGTCGCTGCCAACGACCCTTGAAAGTTGAGCAGTCAGGCTGCTGCTCTGAATCTGGTGAGTGGTTGCTACGCGGTGGAGGCTCCAGAGGTGCCGAAGGTTCTTCTTCCTCACTGCCACTGTAAGTAGGCCGATCTGACAGTGCTGCTGAAGTTTCGCCTTCGTCGCTAGCGCTGGGCGTGGGCCGCTCCGACAACGCCTCTTCAGTGTCTGGGAACGAGGCTTCGGTCTGGCCCTTCTCTCCCAAAGCGAGGAACTCAAGCTCCTTCTGGTCATCCGCGGTGAGCACGGGTACGTCGGGGAAAGCTCCTCCATGGACATTATGGACAAGCGCCTGGTGCCTGCAGAATGCACCCAGCCGTCCTGTTCGGCAGATGCAGGTTCCCACATCCGGGATGACCTCGCACGCCTTTTCAATCCGCAGGCCGCTGGGGACCCGAAAGATGTTGTTGTCGAGCACCTCAATCGCCTCCGCCACAGATTCGGGCAACCGTTTGAGCAGCTTGTCGTGGTGCAGTTGGTGCACGGGCCTGCGGTTGCGTGCGTGTGCTAGGAGCCTTCTCCTGAAGTAGTCCTCCCACTGAGAGGTCACAAAGTTCACCAGGGCAACGACGTTAAAGGCCTTGCGGTTGTGGAGCAGAAGGTCCCTAAGAATACGAACGGACGCTTCTGCAAAGTCGTGCGTGTCGTCGTCTCCCACAACATGGTCATGACGGAAAAGAAGCACCCACTCAGTCTTCTGTTCCAAGAGCGCGTTCACATGCTCCACATAACCCTGGTGCGTCCTCAACCGTAGATCCGTCGTGGCAGCCTCCAGTTCTTCCTCAGACTCTGCGTACATGACCTGAAGTGTAATATTAGGGGCAGAATGTTTAGTGCTGATTATGTTTGGAATAGGAATATTTTTTTGGAAGCGCCAATGTAGTTTTTTTACAATTGAAGCTCAAGAAATATGTTCTTGTTGATTGAAAGACCTGAGAATGCACCCAATTATCTTCTACTTCAGGGGTCTCCAAACCCCGGCCCGCAGAAGTCTCCCGACAGGACCATGGCTGGCTACGGTCCTTTTAATGAAGCCTGGCCTGCGCCCTGCTCCCAGCAGACCAGCAGACCCGCTGCTACCGGCGCAATGAATGTGCATACAGAAATGACGCAACAATGTGCTCCAAATGCGCAAACAAAGATACAAGAAAGAACTAGAGAAACTGCGTCATAATGCAGGTCCTCTTGCCATATTATTCATTGAACATTGTAAACACCAGCTATTCTTGGCCTCCTGCTTCATGTTTGTTTAACTATGTTAAAGTTCCCTCGCATTATCAAGTGCAGTCGGCGCCAAACTTTTACGAACCACGCAAGCCGTGGCCGAGCTGCATTACCGCTCTACCTTGCGGCGCGGCGGATGTGGTCGACACCCGTAGCACGCCTGTGCATCCTTTGGTACTGGCAGGCATGTCAATGAACTGTCCCGCTTCTGGCCAACGCCTTCTTATTCACACGAATACGGCGCCAGGCTCTACTTCGATAGCCGCCATTGGTTGCTGTACCGCAGCCGTATCTCAGTGGCACAATGAGCGGCAGAAGCCACAATATCAACTCTATCTCCCACCCAGGGGCGTAGCCAAGGGGGGTGGGGGAGTGCTTATGGAACTTTAGCCCCCCCCCCCCCGCCCTTCCCCCGAAATCCAGCTAACTCTATACACCAACTCATGTTTACAAACAAACCGGAGCGCTCCTAGCGGACGCCACCGGCGCCGCGCATGCGCGGTGGATGGTGGGCAAGAAGCCCGCCGTCGCCCATAAACAAACCATTGAATTGCGTTGTTGTCGGCGTCGGTGGGAGTCCCCGTGTTCTTTTTCGCGTTGGAATTGTTGATGCTACGTTTTCCTAACAATGCCTGACTATTTGAGCGGCTTCAGCAAAACTAACGAGGCAAAACTTTGCGTGAATAATGTGACGTGCGCCGATTCATTTCACGTGGACGCCGCAGAACGGGCGCTAAAGCCTGACTCCCACGATGAGATTCTGCTCGCTGTTTTCAGAGGCGACGTTGCTCGGACTGCAAAAGCGCGGACCGTAGCTGAGATGGTGGACGTCGATACTGAAAACCGCAAGTAGAATCTGGCATTACAAGTCGGTGATGGCCACTGGTAACAATAATGATAAACATCTTCTTGTATCTGTTTACACTTAGCCTACTTACCCCAACCAACCTTCAAAAGTGTTTTGAGGCCTGCACTTAGTTCTTATCGCAATTACCGGGTCAACGTTTGGTTTCCCGGCCGCTGTCGTTTGGACGAGCTGACGACAAAAAGCAGCCAAGTTTGAAAAAGCAGACGACAGTTCGAACGCATGCGTAATGGGGTACGGGCAAGAAGCACCGCGTCCCGCGTCAACAAACCACTCGAATGTCACGTTGTCGGCGTCTGTGTGAGTCTGCCTACTCTTTTTCGTGTTGGAATTGTCGATTCTACGTCCTCATCGCAATGTCTTACCACTTTAATCGCTTAAGCGAAATTATCAAGGCTCGTTACGCCGCTAAACTTTCCGTAAATAATTTGACGTGCGGCGATTAATTCGCATGAACACCGCAGAATGGACGCCAAAAACATGATGAGATTCTTCCAGCTATTTTCGGTAGCGACGTCGCTCGTGTTGCAAAAGTGTAGAAGGTAGCGGCGATGATCGACGTCGATATTGAAATTCGGAAGCGGGAACAGACCAAGCGTAACAAGTCGGTGATGACCACCGGTACCAATGATCAACATCTTGTATCTACTTTTTAAACCGAGCCTACTTAAGTCTTTTGAGGTCTGCAATTACTTCTTATTGCTATCACCGGGTCAAAGTTTGGTCTACGGGCCGCTTTTGTATGAACGAGCAGACGACAAAAAGCAGACGTTTGAAAGAGCAGACGAAAGTTTGAACGATCAGGCGGCCGTGTGATTTTGAAGACGCACTGAACCCGTGGGTGGTTCGGACAACTTGGCGGTTTTTTCTCGTTTATGTTGGAACAAAGCAAATACATCTGGCGACCACAAAGTGTTGCCCGCGCACGCAATTGTAATTCGACAGCGTCTGGTTTGCCCTTTTCACGCCTACTATCCACGTTCTCGGACGAACGGAGGGGGCAAAAACACATGAAAACTGATCTTCAAACCTTTCCAGACTCTCTTGGTACAACCCCCGTCGCAGCATTTTGACGAGAAAGCAGGTTTTTTGTCTCGTTTCTTCCAAGGGAACACAGGAATGCATATCTGGCACGGCGACTTCTGCCCACCGCCACAGACCGGAAGTGCGTCCGGCGCGCCACCACCGCGGCGTGACGTAGGAGAGTTGAGTTGGTGTATATTATACAGATGCATTCTGAACCCCCACCCCCCCAAGTCATACACATCCTAGCCACCTTAGCCCCCGAAACGAATTCCTGGCTATGCCACTGCTTTCACCGTCCGGCATGATATCATTTTTCCTAGCTCAGCGGCCAGGGAAATTGCCATTCTGCCTTTTTTTCTTTGTTTTCTTGTTCCAGAAGCCTTTTCATTTTGTCCGTACTTGCTGCCTTGTCAACCAGTCAGTGACAATTCAGAACTTCTACTGTGTACTGCACAATTTATTGAATACAAATTTTAAATAACTGGAAAAACAAAACATCCATAAAAAAAATATGGAATGGCTGTCTCTTTGGTTGCTGAGCAGGGCAAAGTGATTCCATGCCACGGGGCGAAATACTGTGTTGATATCGCACCTTCTGCCACTCATCGTGCCACCGAGATACGACTGCCAACGGCGTCTATCGAAGCAGCGCTGGGCGCCGTATTCGAGAGAATACGGCGCCCACTGGCTGGATGCAGGAGGGTTGACTTGTCTTCAAGTACCAAAGGACGCGCATGTCCACATTACTAATCTCGACAACAGGCGCCGCACCGCAACGTAGCGCAGTGATGCAGCTCGGACACCACTTGCGTGTTCCGCAAACTTTTGTGGCCGACTCTCCTTAGTCTTTTGTGCTGCCCGAATGTGCTAAATCCCCATGCAGTTTGATTTATGCCTGAGGAGTTTTCTTGGCCAAACTGTTGTGTAATATGCCATAATTAGCTAAATATTATATTTCAAGTTGAAGTAAATACATATATTCATTCACCTTAGGGTAGGTTTTTTTTAATACTTATTTTGACATTCAAGTTTGTGTTTAAATACTTATCTAGCTATATTTATTCAGTTTCTTTTTTCTTGTTTATAATTACGATTTTTCTCTTGAGACTGCAAAGACTGGCCCCTTAGCCACAAAATTCAGAGACCCCTGTTCTACTCAATAAAAAAGGAACTCCATATGATGGACAAGCAGCTAAGAAAGATGCATTGATTTTTCAAATACACAAATACACATTCCTAGCTCCTCTTTTCATTTGAAAGAAAATATGGCCTCCAGCCCAAATGCCATTTGTGCAGATACAGCAGCTTGCAAGGTCTAGAAAGCGAAGAACTGCCAAAAATTGTACAAGAATTATTTACGAATACAGTCTAAGCTCATTATAAGAGGCCTGGATACAACAGATATTTGGATATAACATATCAATTTGTGAAGTTCAGTTGGTTTCCCTCTATGCATCATTGACTCAACTTCTTATCCGCCATACAATATACTCCTCTTACAACAGACCGAATTCTTGGTCAAAATCAAGTTCTGTTATAACGAGCTTAAACTGTAGTAAGTCGACTTCAATTAATTTAACCTTCACGGGACATGCGAAATTGGGTTGAATTATCCCTAAAATCTAATTAAAAGATGCGGGCAAAACTCAAAATATCCAGCGTTTTACATTAGGTCGGCTAACATTTTTATAATGAGCCGCCGCACACCGCCGCACGGAGGTGGCAGCAGCCAGGTATGTCCTTTGCGCGTTCGGTGTGGTGGTGGCAACTGCGAACGCCGGCCGCTGATACCGCCGGCACCGTTGCAATACCGCTGAGCTGCTCGCTGCTCCGCAGCAGTGTTGAACTACTAGTTGTTTCTTGCTCAGACCTGGCCATGTCCCGTGTCTGAACATGTGCTCTTTTTCACTCTCTCTTCACAATTCAGCGCAAGCTTCAAAATGTGAAAACATGTTTTTTAGCCGATGGGCGTGGCTGATCACCGATTGCGGCCGACTGACTGGCTGATTCAAATACCCAATATTTTATATTTTAAGATCGAAATAACGGGTTTTGTTTTTTTATAGAAATGTAGGGGCTTTTGCCGAGACCTTTGAACAGGGTCAAGTTAAACGATAAGTCGAATTAACTAAGGTTGAATTAACGCACGTCAACTGTAGAGAAAATTACAGGGCTTAACTGTAACATTTGCAACATGCTGAAGACAGCTATCAGTGGATACCCAGATAAGGCTTAACTCTTTCCTGACCGTGCCCATCTGGTGATCAATGGTTTTCAAGTGCTGTCAAGAAATTAAATTTAGTGCAGAGAATTATGTTCTACAATCTTGTGGATAGCTGAAGAATTCTAGTTTCAATTTCAACGTAGGTTTAAGCTTTATCACAAACTGGTGGGCTGTCAAAGATAGTCGTGGCAATGGTGGTTGTACTTATCTAACATGGCTAACTGCTTGCATAAGTCATTGTAACAAAGATGGCATTATTTACATAATTCATATTGTGGCACATTTTAGGGGCGAAGCTTGTTAGGGTCTAGCTTTGCCCGTCCGGTGTCCGTGTTCACATCGATTGCACTGCCTCCGGGATCGGCCCACTTTAAAAAAAAAATGTACGCCCGCACGGGGGTTCGAACTCAGGACCGCTTGCTTACGAGGCAGACGTCTTAACCACTACGCTACACTCCAACGTTGCATGTAGCCGCTCAACGTCTATACAGGAGAGGGCGCTGCGATCAAATGCGTACATAATTGCATTAAACTCTGCACGCATTGGCTCAACATTTACAGACGAGAGGGCAATGCGGTCAAATGCTCAACTGCGTATATAACCACGATCCATACCACACATTCTCTTTTTGACACGGACCGTTGACTTAAGCGGTGGAGATGCATTCCCACGGCTTCTAGCGGATCCAAGCTGATCCGCTAGAAGAACCACTGGCTCTACATTTCACCGACCATAAAGCAGTAATAATGAAGTCGAAACGCAACCCGGAACTCAGCACTACCTATGAGCAATAAAAAGAAATCAGCACCATCAGCACTACCTATGAACAATAAAATCAGTATCATCAGCCCCACCAGAGCTTCCCCCCAATCAACATTATTCACCACGTGGAGATGCGGCCTCTTCTTTAGACCACAAGAGCTCTGGGAACACTTCAAATGAGGTTATAGGCATTGCTTCACAGATGGTTGTTGGTAAGCACCACTATAATTTCCAAAACTGTTCTGAGCCGGCGTGCACGTCTTATGTTCCAAACGAGGCATACAAAAATTTTAAATATTAGAGAACTGCAATCAAGGCTATGACAAAACCAATCTAGAACAGGAAAGCATTCTGCTGGGGATGTGACGTGTATTATCTGTGTTTCACCAATATAAGCATTCCTTCATTGAAAAGCAGACGTGTTATGGAGGCTAACTCTCTGACAACCAAAAATAGACGTCAGTTAGAGTACACTAACTTTCGGAAGTAATAGCCGTGGGTGTGGGGCACATTTTCAATATTCACACTTTTTCTTATTTGTCGTATGATTCGACAGAGCTGCACAAGTTTCGTCGTTTATACACCTTCTGTACATACACTGTATTTTTAACGAATAAAATTTTAAAATCGCTTTCCCCACATCATATTCACCTTTATTTCTTTTGAAAGAACAGCTAATTGGCCACATTTTGATGTGTCATATTGCTCCATACAAAAGTTAGTTAGGAAAATAAAAGCATTTGCAGGGCTCCTGTCGAAATTGCTTACTTTTTCCGTGGTCACAAAAGTTAAAAACCAGTTCCAGCGTTCACCTTTACCACATCCACACACACACTACCTTCAACCTCCTCCAGTGCACATCGTCCTTCACAATGTACATGCACTGTAACACATGTGTCACATAAAGATCTTCTTATGGCGTTCGTCAGTTTATATCCTTGGGAGATCAAGTGTGCAATAAATATATTGACCGTAAACAGACTTCTTCAGAGAGGAAGACTGCATGTGCAGAAAAGAGATTCAGTTGGTGCTATGTATGAGTAGATATCAGAGTTAAACTGATAGCAGAAGCACAGAAATCAGAGGTCAACGTTGACAACACTCGAACCAATTGTTTTTAGCTACGAGGGTGACGCAAGTCAAGAGCATTGTGCAGAGTAAACACCTTTGTTAGCGTACTCTTGATAAAAACACTGCTTAGCACTAATAAATTTATGCTCAAGCCAGTTTGATTTCCTTTAAAGTTCACTCTTTACTGTGCACCCTACATTAATTCACTAGACACGATTCCCTAGATATATGGTGCTCATTCACAAGCCTCTTAATGACATACTACTAATTTGCCCTTGACAAGTTCCCATAACCTAAACCTAGATTTAAACGAGAAACTATCGGTTTCAGTATAACTTAACGTCACAAATCAGTCAGTCTGTAGATCTTATGAGCATGAAACAAAGTAGAACATTGCTCCCCGTGCAAGAGTCTATCGAGACACAACGAGTGGCCACAAACTCTCTGCAAGACAACTTCAGTGGGTGCGCACGTGACGCGGCTGCACGCACCTTCTGGAATGCAGCCATGAGGTCCAGTCGCTCTTCCTGGCCCACCTTGTTCCCGGCCGCACTCAGCCAGTCCCACTCTGCCTGTACCACGTCCAGAGGGTACAGGAGCTGGGAAACGCCGGGCCAGCAGGTGTTCAGGGCCTCCTTCTCGGCCGATGAGGGACTTGTCACAAAGGCTCGGGGTGCCTGAGCAGAGAGGCCAACATTCCTCGCTTGCTGCACCCCACGAACCGCACTAATCCCCGTTCAAATTCATTACTTCCCAGAGGAGAGGGGGCGAAAGGAAATGCTACACGAGTAGCTGAATTTGGCCAGCAAACTAACTCTCCACAGTCATGAAAACAAGATTGTGAACTTTCGTGTATTCATAGTGAAAGTGTGAAAAGATAGAGGGCTAATTTTTACTTCGAAGGGAGTAAAAAAGGATATGGCTAGAAAAATAGCATTTTGAAGCACTGGTGCTGAGAGGGAACTATGCACGCCAACATTGACGGTTGTTGCAGACCGGTGTGAAGCACTGCTGCAGGCTACATTGAAGAGAAAGGCATGCAGTTCAATAAGAAACTATACTAAAGGAAAACCTACTCTGGGCACGAGACAAGGGCTAGACGTTCGCAAAGCTGATGAAAAATTGGCTCTTTGAAGTGCAAGGAATTTCTCCCGGTGGTGCATCCTTCCACTCGGGCTCAACAGAATAACTGTATCACGGTGCTGCCACTTTGACACCAACACTACAAGGGAAAGGAAGCTTCCCAGGAAGTAAAAAGCAGCACAGCATGCCGGTGCACTAGCACAACGTCCTTGCACACTGCTCACTCACAGGGGCTCCCCCGAAGCAGAGCGGGTAACTCCGCTTGAGGAGGCTGAATGCCGTGGCGTAGCTCTCCATGCCCCGAGGTCCGTGGAGGACCACCGCCAGGGGTATGGCACCGGCCCCTGTCGCTGCCAGAAACGTTGTCAGGGTACTCGTGGCAGTCACCAGAAATGTGGAGTCCAGAAAGATTGTCTCCCTGGCCGCATCCAACTGCTGGGTTCTCCTCATGATCTTGGTGACCACAGAGATGGCCCAGCAGGATCCGTCCCCAGACTTCGCGGTTTTGATGTCGACGCCTGCACAAGACGCTTCTATGCAGGACACATTTTGGTGAACAATCTCCTACTCGTAATGACTCTCCAGACCACTCCTCGGCATCTGCGCCATAGATCCCGCATTAGCAGTTAATTAAACTGTCAACAATTGGCAAGTCATCCTCTTAACAGATACCACTTGTCTTCAGTGGAAGTGAGTGCTTAACCTGTGTGCTAACTACGTAGTAAACCTTGACAAACACCCTGTATGCAACCTTTCTCCAGGAAAGAAACTGGCAATGCCGGGGGGGGAGGGGGGGGTTGTGGGGCATATTTCTAAAACATTGCTATTGCTCTGCACCTTTATGTTTTTAATGCAGGTGTATTAGCGTGGGCAAAGCAAGCTATAATAAGCATATGACACAATACAAAACATCATAAAATTAAATCAACTCTCTGACGTCACGCCACTGCAGTGGCACTGCTGTCGGCACTGTGCATGCTCGGATGCTTCATCTTGGAGAGATCTGGCTTCTGTGCACACACAGTGTTTACACCTGGTATGGGCAAACACAAGATTGTTTTTAAAGAGCGTGTTGGCATATAACAACAAGCATCGTTAAGCTTTGTAAATTATCGACGTGTGACATGAAGGTAGGAAGAAGAGGAGGCGACACTCTGGCTCGAGCCAGCCAAACGAGCAAATCTCGACTGAAGCCGGAAGTAGATGATGCGGTCGGTGGCAACGCCCCCAAAAGTGACCAAAACAGCTGTTGGTGCCAAGTCAGCTCTCCTTTTCGTCCAATAGAGTCTCTTCGTTTTGGTCATCGTTGGGGACGTGTCTCTCGGAACCGGATCTTTCCACCTCCCCCGGCGTCGTCACCTCTGGTGGCGTCATGTTGCCTCAATTAGCTTCCTACCTCCATGACATGTGAAGGCAGGTTTAAAGTCGAACCACTGAAAGCAAGAGAAAATATGACAATATAGATGAACTTAAAGAAGTCAAAATTCAATAAATCGAAATAGCAGTAGGATTGAAATGGCTCGAACCTGATGCGCAAGTTACTTGTCTCCTTACACGCATTTGATAAAAATAAAAAAGAGCACTGGCAATATAGCGTGACTCACTGGGGGAGGGTCCTCTGCACTACGCCAATGACTTTAAAATCTTCAGCTGAATGAGATAGTACTGCCCGAACCCAGCTTTTTTGTTGTAGTTGCTTGGGGTGAGGGGAGTGAAGGCGAGGGTAGGCGGAAAGCGCAATTCCACTAGAAGAAAGCACATGCCGGGAAAGCAACGGTGCCAATTGCTATTTCTTCATGTGTTGCACTAGCCTACTCGCTGGCCGAATGGGCTAGCTCACACCAGCTCAGACCCAGGGATCCTGGGTTCATCCCTACCCCTGCCCGTTTCAAACTGGATGAGCACCGTATCGACGTGCGGTCGATGCACACACCAGGGTAGCGGTTGTAGTATTGCACTGGCTAAATTGCTCATCTACAGCTGGGAGACTCGTCGCCCATTGAGGTAGACCAAGTTCTAGGCTGTACAAACATACGCACAACCCCCTAATTTTTTTGCTAGAACTGCACCGCATTATTATCCTACAGGTGAACATACGTCACCCCGTTTAAGCCTTCTGGTGGGTGCTAAACTGCAAAAATGGACGAGAGTGTAAACAAGTTGCACAAAGGCCACCGAATGCCCTCTGCACTATTGCTGCGGACTGCAGCGATAGTGCAGAGGTACATTTTCCAGTAACTTGTAAGTTGTAACTAAGTGAAGTTACTTTTTACAGGTACTTTTCTATTCACTTCGTCCAAATGGTAGAAACTATAAATCCTGAAGTATTAGCATACTACCATGTGCCGTGATTAACGTTGAGTTGGGTACGACCTGGGAGGGACTGACTTGATTGAACGACATTTTAGCGAATGAAGTCCTGCCCATGATGTTTCATTGAACGACAGTTTAGCGAATGGCGGTGTTGATTTGATCGAACGGTGGATTCGCGATGCCGTTCTAGCGACACCAATTTATTGAATCGCTTAGGAACTCTGTTTAGGAAAAATAGCAACCTGCTTCCTTCATCTCAAATCGAAACCGAAAAAGATAACGTGTCCTGGAATGCTCGTGTGAATGCAGTTTTTCATATTTCTTGCACCGACACCAATAAAGCAGATTTATCGAACTCATTTATGAGTGTATTCTTAGTATAAAAAGCTTTACTTCCAATATATTCTGACAAATATGCGGAAAATAAATAAAGAAAGTATCTTTGAAGTAACTGAACCTGTACCTAGGTACCTCCTCGGATGAGTAACTATAACTGTATCTTTGGTACATTTTTTAAGTAACTTTTACAACCCTGATTGTGACATACCTTTTTTTTTCTGTCGACAAGCATTCTTAGGCGCGCTTCAGACGGGGCAACTTTCTTAGCAATTTTGAGGTTGCTGGCGGGTTGTTCTTTAGCTTTCCCTAGATAGACACAAATTCCTGAGATTGGGTACGGCTCAAAACGGACGAGCAACTCTAACAACTCGGAGACATTTGAAGCGGCAACAGCCAATCAGGGACACAATATTTTCACGTGAGACCCCTGTGGTGGTGATAATGACAGCTAAAGACTTGGTTCTAATTTGAAATGGATTGTTTTTGGAAATAAACCTTTTCAGAAAAATGAGTTAGTATTCTCAACGCCATTCAAAGATATGAAAACATGTTTTTAGCACGTAGCTTTGCGTCCAAATAGTGCAAGAAAAATCAAATTTCATGATGATGATGGTAAGTCGTAGCAATTCGGCTGCTGCGTGTGAACGCGCGCGGCTTGTGTTGTTGGTGTTGTGACGTCAAGTTGGTGGGTGAAACTGCCCCGTCTGAAGCAGGCCTTAGTGGTAGTTGCTGAGTCGACGGTTTAAAAAACATTTATAAATGCCTGCAAAAATATTCAACTTAAATAGATAAAAAAGAAAGAAAAACAATTGGCAGCGACTTTTACCTTTAGATGCCTATAATGCACATAATGCATTATAGAGAATCAATGAGATTTGGTGCGTCACGTGACATGTATTTTTCCGCTAAATTTAGCAGGAAAGCTGAATGGTTGTATAGATCACGTGACGTCGATTTCGCCCACTATATTCAGCAAGGAAACTAGATTGATGTCTACGTCACAAGATGAGAATCTTCCCACTAAATTTAGCGAGTAACTGAATTGATGTATAGGTCGCGTGACGTCACTTTCCCCGCTAAATTTAGCGGAAAATGTAGAGACGTACGGACGAACTAAGTTTTCGGATTGGGGGTAGCGTTAAAAATCATTTCATGTTTTAAAAGCGGCAAATGAAGGCCGGTCTTAGCTATACATATTGGCAACCGGCCTGTCATCTAAAAAAAAAACAAAAAAAAACGGCCATGCCAGTCAGAAACTGGGCAGGTGGCAAACCCAGTAAACATACCCCCCCCCCCCTTCCCACAAACGTTTGCTTCCTCTGTCCTTTTCCTTCCATATCCCCTTTCCCAACTCAGAGTAACCAACCAAGGCAGGCCACCTTGGCTAACCTCTCAGTTTCTACCTGCTCTTAGCTTCTTCCCTGCAAAAAAAAAAAAAAAAATATATATATACATAGGTATATATATATAAAATAAAAAATTAAAAAGTGTGTTCTGGCAATATTGTGCCACCAAACATACTTTGGACCGACGGGATAAAAGGCAACAAGGTCAGTGACTCTTACTATGCATGCACTTTTACTGTGATCAACAAACAAGACAAAAGAAAAAATACATCTTTTTAGACCCCCCTTTCCTGTAATGAATAGAAACGAATTAATTGCAGTTACTTTCCACATCAATTTAAAAGAAATAAGACAAAAAATACTTTTTACTATGGTTTTTCACTTAAATACAATTTTTACGGCACTTTACGCATGTTTTTACATTCCCCCCCTCCCTTCCTGTAATGAATAGAAACAAATTTATTCTAGTTACTTTCCACATAAATTTAGAAGAATTAGACCATAACCATTGCATAATCCTTTCTTAAAGGGCTGTATGACGATTACACACCGTGTGTATAAACAATCTCAATATTTTGCCAATCTCGTGTGTATAAACAATCTCAATATTTTGCCAATCTCAGATTTATGACAAATTCCACATTGCAAAAAGCAGGGTTTCGAACCGAAACTCTTTTTGGTTCGGTTCAGGTTACGGTTCAGATATTTCGATTTTGCTCGGGTTCAGCTCTGGAGCGGAAAAAATAATGGTTTGAACCAGTTCATATAACGGTTCAAGGAAAAGTGAAAAATTTAACCGAATATTCGCACACTTCTCATGCCATGAAGTTGGTCACTACGGTATAGAATAAGCACTCATTTATTGATTTTGTGTACTTCATCTGTCTCTTGGAATGATCTTCAAACATTCAAGACTTCACATGGGACTGGGTACCAACCTATTATACACCAAACACAAAATTAAATATGTCTACTGCAAGAATGGACGAGTGCCTCTTCCAAATTGTTATATTCACAAGCCATATTAATTTTACTGATATGTACGCTCTGTCTTCGCTGAATGAAACAAACAAAGAAGAAAGACGTCATCTAGTATGTCCGGGTTCAATCGCACTCGTTGCAATGCTAGGATGTATTTTAACCCAGAGAAGGACCTTCCCACACCGACTTAAGTGACCGGTACTGGAAGTGCAATGAGCGCAAGGGAATATAATTCGTGACGCCGGGACTTTTCCTTTTCCCCAAATTCCAAGATATTGCTATCCTTGGTAATTCGGGGGCACCTTATCAAAGCTGTCCCCTAGGGTCTGAATCTCCCCAAAGATCGAAGAACGGTCGCTAAATGCTTTCAGGCAGCCACTTTCTTTTATGCATGATGAACACTTTGAGGTTGTCATTAGAGCAAGTGGAACTCCCCGCTGTGCATGGGGTTTGCGGTTGGTGTGGCTGGGCATCTTTCTTAAGTGTGCGAAGCTTCCTCCATGCCAGTAGCAGATGCCGCTTTGCTCTGAACCTCTCCT